AGGATAATATGTCATAATCAGGTAGGGTTATTCCAGGAATGCAAGTTACTGAAACTGAGAGCATCATAGGAATCCCAGTGCTAGGGCGTGAAGCAGGTAAGAAAAGAAGGCACCATCTGTCACATGCTGAGAGGGTGGAGACAGCAGGCAGGGAGCAGCTGGCCCTGTGAGTTGGGGGGATTCTCTCTCACCTCTCTCCCTCTTTTCTCTGTTTCTCCTCTAAAGCAAGGTTTCCAAGCTCTTCGTCACAGGTATCTCAGGGGTAATTGACAAGCCTGCCCTCCTGCCTCTGTAGCTGTTTTCTCCATAGCCTTCATAGCCTTCAGTTTTCTCCATAGCCAGATAACGGCCAGGCATGATGGCTCACCCTTGTAATCCCAGCACTTTGGGACGCCAAAGCGGGCAGATGGTTTGAGTGCAGGAGTTCAAGACCAGCCCGGCCAACATGATGAAACCCTGTCTCCACAAAAACTACAAAAATTAGCCATGCATAGTGGTGTGTGCCTGTAGTCCCAGCTATCTGGGAAGCTGAAATGGGAGGATTGCTTGAGTGCAGGAGGTAGAGGTTACAGCAAGCTGTGATCATACCACTGCACTCCAGCCTGGGAACACAGCAAGACCCTGTCTCAAAAAAGGCGGGGGAGGCGGGGGCGGTAGGGGCTGGATGCAGTGCTTGTGCCTATAATCCCAGCACTTCGGGAGGCTGAGGCAGGCCTATCACGAGTTCAGGAGTTCAAGACCAGCCTGATCTACATGATGAATCCCCATCTCTACTAAAAATATAAAAATTAGCTGGGCGTGGTGGCATGCACCTGTAATCCCAGCTACTCAGGAGGCTGAGGCAGGAGAATCACTTGAACCCAGAAGGTGGAGATTGCAATGAGCTGAGATGGTGCCATTCACTCCAGCCTGGGCAACAGAACAAGATTCCACTTCAAAAAAAAAAAAAAAAAAAGGATATGTGCTTTTTTTTTTTTCACCTTTTCCAGAGTATGTCTCAGCCTCTCTCCCCTCCAGCACTGTTGCCCTTCGGCCCAGCGCTCATGGAGTTTTTCCCAAGCAAGATGCTGGCACTGCTTTGTAAATGCTCATGTGTTCATTACACAGACACTTTCTCACTTCAGTTTTTAAAATTTCATTTTAAAAACTGCACAAGTTAAAAACGACTCCATACAAAAGTTTACATGGTAAACACTAATTCTCCCTTCATTCACCTACATTTACCAATGGTCCCTTTCCTGTATTAAAGAGACCTGAGGTGAGGCTGGGTGGCCTTTCAGCTCACAGCTGAAATCCCAGCACTTTGGGAGGCTAAGGCCAGCAGGTCAATTGAGGTCAGAAATTCCAGACTAGCCTGGCCAACATGGTGAAACCTCATCTCTACTAAAAATACAAAAATTAGCTGGGCGTGGTGGCAGGTGGCTGTGATCCCAGCTACTCGGGAGGCTGAGGCAGGAGAAACACTTGAACCCGAGAAGTGGAAGCTGCAGTGAGCTGAGATCATGCCACTGCACTCCAGCCTGGGCAACAGAGCAAGACGGTCTCAAAAAAATAAGAAAAACAGAGAGAGCTGAAGGTGACTCATATACTGTTCAAAGACATTCATGCATGTAACAGTCTACACTCAGTGTCTGCTTTCTCTTTGCTTTTATTTAGCAATGTGTCCTGATACGTTTCATATGAAATTATATAGCAGCCTCTCATTATTTTTAATGGCTGCACAGTGATCGATTTTATGAATGTATAGACACTAGATGCAAATGAATACACACCAATAACTCCATCTGCATAAAGTTCAGAAATAGGCAATACTAACATGTTTTCAAAATCCAGGCTAGAGGTCACCCCTAAGGAACCCCTAAGGAGGAACAGGTCAGAGACCAAGGGGTAGGAGTTGCCAGGGGGCTGGTCATGCTGTTAGGGAAACAGGAGCCTAGGAGAGACAGGGTGACACTGTTTGAAAATCAACTCCATCTTTTTTTTTTTTTTTTTGAGATAGAGTCTGGCTCTGTCACCCAGGCTGGAGTGCAGTGGCGCAATCTGGACTCACTGCAACCTCAACCTCCCAGGCTCAAGCCAACCTCCCACCTCAGCCTCTCAAGTAGCCGGGACTACAGGCACACAACATCATGCCTGGCTAATTTTTGTATTTTTTTTTTTTTATAGAGACATGGTTTTGCAATGCTGTCCAGGCTGGTGTCAAACTCCTGAGCTCAAGCAATCCACCCATTTTGGTCTCCACAAATGCAGGAATTACAGATGCCTGTCCCAACTCCATCTTTTCCTTTCTTTTTCTTTCTTTCTTTCTTTTTTTTTTTTGAGACACAGTCTCGCTCTGTCACCCAGTCTGGAGTGCAGTGACACGATCTTGGCTCACTGCAACCTCTGCCTCCCGGGTTCAAGTAATTCTCTTGCCTCAGCTTCCTGAGTAGCCAGGATTACAGGCACATGCCACCATGCCTGGCTAATTTTTTGTATTTCTAGTAGAGATGGGGTTTCACTATGTTAGCCAGGATGGTCTTGATCTCCTGACCTCATGATTCAGCCTCCCGAAGTGCTGGGATTACATGTGTGAGCCACCGCACCCGACCCCAACTCCATCTTAAAACTAGCAAGGCACATTCCTTGCCAGTCCTGACCCATGGTCGTAAGATGCTATGGCTAAAAGGGCAGTTTAGTAATGCCTGCAAGGACAAACTCCTATCACAACAAAATGTCTAGGTGCTCCAATACTGCCTAAAAATATACAATTTAAGATAGTTATAGTCAGGCCATGCACAGTGGCTCATGCCTGTAATCCCAGCACTTTAGGAAGTCAAGGGTGGATCACCAGATCAGGAGATCGAGACCACCCTGGCCAACATGGTGAAACCCTTACCTCTACTAAAAATACAAAAAAGTTAGCTGGGTGTGGTGGCACACACCTGTGGTCCCAGCTACTCAGGAGGCTAAGGCAGGAGGATAGCTTGAGCCTGGGAGGTGGAGGTTGCAGTGAGCCAAGATCGGGCAATTGCACTCCAGCTTGGGCAACAGGGTGAGATCTTGTCTCAAATTTTATATATATATATATATATATATATATATATATATATATATATATTCATGCTTTGATGTATTTATGCATTAAAATGCCAAGAATAACTTTCTTTACATAAAAAAAGCACTAAATTTTGTTATGCTGTCAGCCCACCCTCATGTAGACATGGCTTAGTTTTTGCATAGATAAGACCCCTACATAAGAAGAGTTTTAAAAAAAGAGGGTGTGTTCCCCCCTTGCTTTCTGAGAATGGCCTGCTCTGTAACTGAGTAACTTTCAATAAACAACGCTCTCACTGCACTCTGTAATTTGCCTTGAATTTCTTCTGGATAAGATCCAATAACCCTGTGCGACCCGCAGAGACCCTTCCCAAAGCAAATGAGAGCGAGGAGTTGTTAAGCCGAGTCCAGGTTTATTGGGATCTGCGGGGAACCCAGGCGGGAGGGGAGCTGAGCTGCACCCAGCAGCTGCCGGAGAGGGTTTTTATAGGGAGGCGGCCTGCTGGATGTGGGCCCCAGAGGCGGCCTGCTGGATGTGGGCCCCAGAGGCGACCTGCTGGATGTGGGCCCCAGAGGCAGCCTGCTGGATGTGGGTCCCGGATATGGGGGATGGGCTCTTTCTACCTAACACCCTCTCTTGGGGTCTGGATGGAGACTACTCTTCCAGCAACAATGTTTCCTGAATTCAGTGGTGGTTATACAGGTGTGTTCACGTTTTAATCATTCATTGAAATATACATGTACACTTGTGATTTCTGCACATTTCTGTATAACACTGTGCTTCAATTTTACAAATTTTAAGCTCACAACCCATTGGGAGAGATCTATATACAGAGAAATAACAATGGATCCGTTTGATAAACAAACGTAGAACTCAACTATCTTGCATTCTTGGAATAGCTGACTCAGGTGCCATGGGGGGCTGCCTGCATGCCAATTCCCTGCCCAATAACCTTTGGCAGGTTACCAAAGTGTGAGGACCTCGACTGTAAAATGGGAATAATAATACAACGACCTGAGATTGTTGCAAGGATTTAATATAACCAATGTAAAGTGGGCAGAAGTGCTCCGCAGGGACATAGCAGGTGCTCAATAAATGCCAAGACCAAAATACCACGAAACTGGAATTTTTATGAAGAAAAAGATCTTTTCTTCAGTGATCAGTGAGGAAATACTACAGCGCCGTTCGCGGTGGCTGACGCCTGTAATCTCAACACTTTGGAAAGCCTAAGCGGGAGGATTGCTTAAGCTCAGGAGTTCGAGACTAGCCCGGGCAACATAGCGAGACCTCTTCTCTACAAAAAAAATAATAATAATAAAATTAATTAGCTAGCGTTGCGCGGTGGAAGTATGGTAGCCAATGAGGTTTATCCGATGCGCGATTATTGCTAATTGAAAACTTTTCCCAATACCCCACCGTGACGATTTGCAATGGAGTCGGCATTGGCAATTTTTGACAGTCTCTACGAAAACTATCTTCAGTTAAAAAAAATGAAAAATAAAAATAAAAATTAGCTGAGGGCAGTGGTGCGCGCCTATGGTCCCAGCTACTCGGGAAGCTGATGCGGGAGGTTCGCTCGAGTCCAAGGATTCCCGCCTGGGCGACAGAGCAAGACACCTTCTCTAGAAAAAAAGAGAAGGGTTTGACATATCGCTTTGGGTGAAATATCCAAGGTCGGCCTCCTTGGAGAGTGCGCTCTCACAAAGGAGCGTGGCCGGAGGTGCTGCGGCGCGGGAAAGGCGCCTTCCTGGACTGGTGAATTTGCAGCTCCACCGACTACCGCCGCAACCGCGAATCAGCCCAGTTCAGCTCCACTTTCTGCCGCCGCCCTCCCCTTTAAAACGGAGCCATGACATCATCCCCAACGCTGCGCAGCCTACCTTGGCAACGCCCTGACCACTTTTTCGGGGCGACCTCAATTGGCTGGCCAGCCTCCGGAGGCTCCGCCCCTTCGCTCAGTCAGCCCCGGACGCCCGCTGTCAATCGGGCCAGGTGGGAGCGGTGATTGGCCCCGTGCCCCGCCCTCCAGAAAGCCCCGCCGGGCTTGCGCAGGCTGCACGTTTGGGAGGGAGGGGAGCGGCGCCGCGTCTGGAGTCGCAGCCGTCCGGGTCCTCCAGCCCGCCCGCCAGCCCTCCGGTCCATCCTGCAGCCAGCCTGCTGGGCGGGCCGGCGCGGCCTGGCCATGGAGTCCTACGACATCATCGCCAACCAGCCCGTGGTCATCGACAACGTGAGGCCCGGCAGCCAGGGGGAGGGGGCGCCCGCGGCAGCGCAGGGAGGGACCCCCTCCGCCCGCCTTGGCGCGGCCGTCGCCCCCGCTGGGCCGCTCGCTTCGCTCCCGGGGCGTGCGCTCTCTTGGCCCTGCAGGGCCGGCCTTCGGGCGAGCCCCTTCCCCGACCCCTTCCCAAGCCGGGCGGGGAAGTTCGGGAAAGCTTGAGTGACAGCCGGGCGGCCGGCCGGGAACGCGCCTCGGACCCTTCTCAGTTGAGAGTGCTGTCGCTGGGCAGGTTTCGACCCCAGTTCCTTTCCCAGTCCTTCGGCCCTGACTCTGGCTACCTGACAGAGGGGGTGACATTTGTCTTTTACACACTGCTGGCTTCATCTTTGGGGCTACACCCCGAGGCAACAAATTCACGATACTGTTACCCACACGTCCACTACCATCTGGTTGCCTTTTGGCTACTTTGACTTTCTCCTTAAATACTCCCTCTGCTGAGCAAACACCACACCAGCAGGGCAGTAGAGAGTACATGGCCACTCTTGCCAGTATCAGCAAGCAATTTGGGTGCTCGTTTGGAAGCCTCAGGGGAAGGATGTCAGGCTTCCTGCGGCTTTGTGCTTCAGCAGTGGGGCTCGGCTTGCTTTCAGCTGACGTAGGAAGATTTCTGGCCTCCGAGCTCTGACATAAGGAGAAGATAAGGGCTGGGATCTTTGGGTCTGCCCCTAGCTGGATATCTATGTCTGGTGTGCAGGCCTTGGAGTTTTTGGTAATGACTCACTTCTGCTCTTTCTGGGATCTGTCTCCCTCCCACATAACCCCGTTGTGTCTCTGAATGGCTGTTTTGGAGTACCCATGTGGGTTCCCTGAATCACAACAGGCGATATTTAATAAGGAGGCTAATACAGAGTTTGGGGACCAGCAGGACGCTGCTAGAAGGAGCAGGCTTCTTCCTTTCTTGATGTGCAAATAACTCATATAGGCTAATTAACAGGCTTATGAGTTCAGAAGGGTACCGTTGGCCCCAGAGAATTCCAGCCCTCCTCTGTAACTTGGAGATGTTTATTTCTGCTGCAGACTCAGAGAGTTTCGATGAAGAGTGGTGGGGCTCAGTTGAGAAGCTGATCCCTTCGCTGGGTGGGAGGTTTCTAATTGCCACGTTCTTTTGGATATCCTGAAGTCCAGCTTCCAGGTGGGGGCAGCGATAGAACCAAGTTCTCCCAGCAGTCTCTGGGGAAGCCACTTGAGGGAAGCTGCCAGTCATCCCATGCACCCATTGGTCTTCTCCAGCAGGCCCTGTAGGTGGTCCATGTTCCATGCCTCCTGGGTTCTTGGGAGAGAGGGAAGCGTTGAAAATAATAATAATAATAAACACAGAGGGGTTTCTTCTAGCTTTGAGAGTAGCATGTGCTGTGGAATCCTCCTGCCGGAGCCAGCCCTTAGATGTACAGAGGAAGGTGTCCTTCACAGTTTCTCCATCTCTGTATTGGCATTCTGGGCTAGCTCATTGTTGGTAGTGCAGGCTGGCCTGTACATTGTAGGATGTGCAGCAGCAGCCCTGGCCTCTGCCCATAAAATGCCAACAGCATCCCCCACTCTGTGGACCTTCTCCCCAGCTGCCAGACATTGTCAAGTTTTGCCAGGGAAGGATGCAAAATTACTCCCAGTCTTGAACCATTGGTGTACTTGTAAATGATCCTGGCAGGGTCCCTGGCTTCCTCCCTGGCCTGCCTTGGCGGAGCAGCCAGATCTCTCCATTGCAGGACACAGGCTTCATCTGGTGGTGCATGTTGGGGTGCTAAACTTTGTTTTTCCTTGCAGGGTTCAGGGGTGATCAAAGCTGGCTTTGCAGGAGACCAGATTCCCAAATACTGTTTCCCAAACTAGTAAGTGTGGCTCAGGCAGCAGCCCCAGCCCTTTTGTTTACTTTCTGTGAGAACATTGGCCTTCTGTCACAGCACTCTTTGAAGACAATTTTTGCCCTGACCTGTATGGAAAACACCAAATTTGTGAGGTTGGCGCTATTAGGAGAGCTCTGAAAGAACAACACAAGCATTCTAGGGTTCCCTTTTGTCTTTGGAGTCTCTCATTTTGGTCTTATTGAGCCAGCAAGGAGGAAGAGCAACCAGCATTTCCCTGGGGATGAGGTGTGTTCGCAGCAGCAAGAATAAAGGGAGATACCTCCAAGGGGAGCCCTAAACTCAGAGTAGGAAGAGTGAGGAGTTAGATGCACAGCCACCCTTTCCTCCCCGGAAGTGTTTTCTACAGGGCTTGTTTTCAGACTCCAGAAAATGTCTTTTCCAGTTAAGGGGGGAACCCTTGCCCTGTATAGTACTGGTGAAGGTGGGAATAGGAGAGAAGTGCAAACCCAGAGAGCCTGGGGTGCCCCTTGTACCCGCTGTGAGCCCATTGGGAAGTTGCCCTTAGGAGCACCTCTTCCCAAATCTTGGAGGCTTTGCAATGAATGGCCTAAAGGCAGGGGGCAGCAGGGGATCCTAGGCCCCTGAGTGGCAGGCTAGCCCAAGCCTGGCCTGGTCTGGGACAGAGCCAGCGTCCCTGTTGAGCTTCAGTGTCTTTCTAACTGCGTGAGTACTTAGAGGTTCCTTTGCCTTTAGTGATAGCACATCAGATCCTACAGTTTCCAAGAACTAAATCTCTGATCCAGAAGCCCTGGCAGTGGGAAGGGCAGCATTGACTGAGTGAGAGTGGGTGCATGAGGGAGCCCTGACCCAGCTTCCTGGGGCTGTCCTCCCTCAAGTCTGTAGACAGTGATGCAGCCCTGCCCTGCCGAAGTCAGGAGCATGGGCTGCATCACTGGCTGCAGGAGGCTGACCCTCTGCCAGGGCTGGGCCATGGAGGGCTGGGTTCTGGTGCTCAGACATGCAGCTCTCTCACCAACTGTGCCTCCTGACCCTGAGCTTCTTGTCCTGCCCAGGACCCCTCTCTAGCCCCAAACCCTATAGACCCCAGTTCAGTCTGCCCCACAGCCACATCCTGGTGCTCCAGAGGCCAAGTACCCTCTGGGTGGCTGGGGTTGGATTTCGGTTTTTCTGGACACAAGCTCCACCCTGCTCTCTGCCCACCTCGCTGGTGTTATCTGTCCTCACAGTGTCGGGCGGCCCAAGCACATGCGGGTGATGGCCGGAGCCTTGGAGGGGGACCTCTTCATTGGACCGAAAGCAGAGGTAACGCCTCGGAGCCTGCCTTTCCCTGCCTGTGGGATCCTCAGTTTCAGGGACATGCAGATGTGAGAGGCCTGTATTCTTGGGCCTCTGCTGGTGCCCTCCCTAGCACCTCCTCCGGGTTCCAGCTGGGAAGTGCTGTGCAGGGGCACCTCCCCTCTGAGATGGGGCAGTGGGTAGAGCTCACCGTGTCCTGTCTTTTAGAAGCTATTTGGAAGCTACGAAAGCAAGGACTGATTAAAAACTGTTGTACGAGTCAGAATCATATGCACTCGATGTCTGCTCTGTTGAAGGTCGTGGGGCCACCTTTTACACGGTAGCCGGGGTGGCCTGCCAAGGGGCCCCACTGCCCAGTCAGACCCTGAGGAGAGCATGAGTGGGTGTGGGGAGAACATCGAGCTGATCTTAGGCTAGTATGGTTTAGGCACCTGAGGAGCATTGTGTGAAGTGCTGGGGATGTGGGGCACGGTCCAGAGCCCAGAAAGGGGAGGCCTGAGCTAGAGGTGAAGAGATAGGGGTCTTGCAGATGTGGTCCATAGGAGCCAAGGTGGTGAGAGGAGCTAAGTGGTGCTTGGTGAGAAGGGGCATACCTGGGGGACAGTGAAGGGCAGGTGGAGGCAGCGTGTGTTGGTGCATGCAGGAGACGTGAGGACTGTCCAAAGGGCTGTGGGGAGAAGTACAGGTCAGGGGGCACAGGTGGCCCAGAAGGGGCCGTTTTGGATGGCTGCAAGGCACCGCTGCTGGCAGAGTGTGAGGAGAATGTGGGGGATGTGCCGGCAGTGAGAATGGGAAAAAAGAGGGCCTGTGGGTGGGAGTGGCACGAAGCCACCCTCTCTGATCGCTGCAGTTGAAGCTAGCTGGGCTCTGCAAGCCTAAGAAGCTGTTGGGCAGGTGATCTCGTGCTGAGTTCAGGATCCGCTGCAGAGCCTGGGACACTCAGGAAGCGAGGGTGGTTCTGGTTAGGGCAGGTTGGGGAGCTTCCAGGGGGGCGGAAAGCAGCCACTGATCAAGGGGCAGGTGCCACACCTCCCTTCCCACCCTGCCAGGAGCACCGGGGGCTGCTGACCATCCGCTACCCCATGGAGCACGGCGTGGTGCGAGACTGGAATGACATGGAGCGCATCTGGCAGTACGTCTACTCCAAGGACCAGCTGCAGACCTTCTCGGAGGAGGTGTGGCGGCCGCCCCTCCTGCACACTCCGCATTCTCCTAGCTGTGCCCCTGTCCTCTGCGTCCCTCCTGACCAGGCTCCCACATTTCCCCCCTGCATTTTGAGAAGGTCTGCTGCCTTTCCATGTGTGTCTGGGTGCACATGCATACCCAGTGGCTGCCAGGCAGAATCTTCCAGAGAGACCTATATCTCTGGAAGAGTAACTGCCAGCAGATAAAGGGATACTGCCCTCAGGAGGGGTAGGAGGCTGAGCCGCCTATGTTCCAGCAGGTGTGGCTCTCTGGAAAGAGCCTTCTAGGGCCTTGCAAGTTGCCTCCTGGCATACCTACAACTGTCCCATCCCTCGCAGCATCCTGTACTCCTCACGGAGGCCCCGCTCAACCCCAGTAAGAACCGGGAGAAGGCAGCGGAGGTGTTCTTTGAGACCTTCAATGTGCCAGCCCTGTTTATCTCCATGCAGGCTGTGCTTAGTCTGTGAGTAATCCCCAAGCCCTGGCTTCCCCGAGTCCCGTCCTCCCTGTGCTGTCCTCCTGCTTGCCGTGACCAGGATCTGACTTCCCTTGAAAAACAGCCCCTTGATGACTGTTCCTCTAGGAATTCCCTCAGGTCCTTTCTTCAGACTAGATAATGCAGATGTGCCAGGGCTCCTCCCCTGGGTGAGGAGGTCCCCGTGCCTCAGTGGCTGAGGTGAGGGGATGCTGACCTGGTGACAGGTACGCAACGGGACGCACGACAGGAGTGGTTCTAGATTCGGGGGACGGGGTCACTCATGCCGTGCCTATCTATGAGGGCTTTGCCATGCCACACTCCATCATGCGGGTGGACATTGCCGGCCGTGACGTTTCCCGCTTCCTCCGACTGCTGCTGCGCAAGGAAGGGGTTGACTTCCACACCTCAGCAGAGTTTGAGGTTGTCCGGACCATCAAAGAGGTGATGAGGGGCAGGAGAGCGTGGATACCACCTGGGATGGGGAAAGGGTGGCACCAAGGCACAGGTGTCCTAGGTGCAGCTTTCTGAGGACTGTGTCCCTGCCCCTGCAGCGAGCCTGCTACCTTTCCATCAACCCACAGAAGGACGAGGCTCTGGAGACGGAGAAGGTGCAGTACACCTTGCCAGACGGCAGCACACTCGACGTAAGTGACTGGGGCTGGCACTGCAGCAGCAGCCGATGCCCAGCCTAGGGGAAGGGGTGGCGTGCTTCTCCAGGAAGCCTCTCTGCCTCAGCCTTGTACACTAAAGGTTGGGCCTGCGAGATTCCGGGCCCCCGAGCTGCTGTTCCAGCCGGACCTTGTAGGGGATGAGAGCGAGGGGCTCCACGAGGTGCTGGCCTTCGCCATCCACAAGTCTGACATGGACCTGCGCCGGACACTGTTCGCCAACATTGTGCTTTCAGGTGGCTCAACTCTTTTCAAAGGTACTGTGGCATAGGAGTTGGCAGTGGTAAGGTGAGGCTGAGAGCTCGGGACCCTCAGAGAGTGCACCCCTGCCCAGAGCCATTTTCTATTGGCTTTATCCTGGACACTCCTTTGGTGGTGTTCAGTGAACTTTTTTTTTTTTTAACATACCAAGATTTAAAATTAAATTCTGTTTACTCTGTGAATAGAGGAGTTTACACAGCTCTGAAGTGCATTGTGAGTGTTGAGCAAGAAGCACACGCAGCTTCATCTCAGCTGCCTGTGAGGACGCAGGGGCCGCAAGCAGCCATGGGGCCAGATCATTCTTTTGTTTTTTGAGACAGAGTCTCGCTCTGTCACCCAGGCTGGAGTTCAGTGGCCCAATCTCGGCTCACTGCAACCTCCATCCTCCGGGTTCAACTGATTCTTCTGCTTCAGCCTCCCGAGTAGCTGGGATTACAGGCGTGCGCCACTATGCCCAGCTAGTTTTTGTATTTTTAGTAGAGACGGGGTTTTACCATCTTGGCCAGGCTGGTATCAAACTGCTGACCTCATTGGGGCTGGATCATTTCTCAGCCCTGTCCTTCATCTTGGGAAGAGCTGCTGAGAGAGGGCCAGCAGCAGCTGGGGCCCTGAAGGTCAGGTGTGGGAAGCTAGCAGTGAGGAGGCTGGGTGCAGACACCAGGCTTAGCCAGCCTTGTGTTCACAGGCTTCGGAGACCGATTACTCAGTGAAGTGAAGAAGCTTGCCCCAAAGGACGTCAAAATCAAGGTAAGGTTACAGAGATACCCCCTGGAGCGCTAGGGCACTGGCAGCCTTGGGGAAGTGGAGATGGGAAAGAGGTGGGGAGTGGGGAGGGGAAGGGGTTGGGGGTGGATGTCGCCTCCACACCTGCTCTCTGGCTCAGGTCCACCCAGCCCTACTCCTTCCAGTGCCGCTGCTGCCACTCCCCAGCTGATGCCTTTGCTGTCAGGTCTCAGGCCCTGGGGAAGGTGACCCCAAGGCCGGGAGGGTGGCTTCTGGGTGGGGACCCACAGTTATGTGGCCACTTCCTCCCTCTAGATCTCGGCCCCGCAGGAACGGCTGTACTCCACATGGATTGGGTGAGGCGGGGCTCAAGGGAGGGCTCTGGGAGGAGACCACTTTACTCTGGACACTCTTCCCGGGGTTGGCCCTGGCCTGGTGGAGGTTGGTGGATTTCCCTTCCAAATTAGGGAAATGGAACTCTGAGCGCCAGGAAAGGTGGCTGGCTCTCCGACAGGTCCACAGCAATGCTTACCCTCCATCCCCACAGCGGCTCCATTCTGGCCTCACTGGACACTTTTAAGAAGATGTGGGTGTCCAAAAAGGAATATGAAGAGGATGGCTCCCGTGCCATTCATCGCAAAACCTTCTAGTGCCCAAGGACAGTGGGCATATTGGGAGACGGGGAGGGAGGGGAGTCAGAGCCTTTGACCCTTTTTGGTCTGGGCTCATATACTAGGCTTAGGGTCCCCTGCATGCCCTGAACCCCTGGGCAGGTGGGCACAGCAGTGTCCCCCTGCAGCCTTCCAGCTTTGGGGACTGGGTTGGAGGGGGCAGCCAGCAGCTCCCTCTGGCGTGTCAGTGCATCCATTGCTACCTCCTGTTCATGACCCAATAGGACAGCTCAGCTGCTTTCACCCTCTGTTCTCCCATCTTCCTGGGTAGATGCCCTGGTGCAAGGCTGAGTACTGAGTGGTCTTCCATCCCCAACAAGTGGATGCAGCCCAGAGTCAGGCCCTGCAGAGCCAGGGCAGAGGACGCACGGTGCCCGGAGCTGCTGCGTGTTCCCCTTCAGAGCACTTCATCGACTTGCTTCTCCCTCTCCTTTACCCTTGGGCAGGAAAAGGTTAATGCTCGTCATTTATTAAGGGGAAGCCACTTAATAAGGAGTCAGACCTAAAAGGGGGTGAGGGACATTTTCTTCTCTCACCTCCCCAAAGAAAGAAGTTGTCACTTTTGCTGTGGCCAGGGGCCCACCTCCCTCTCTCAGATATGTACAATAATTTAACACAGTTGCCTGAAAAAAAAACTTTTGTAAATCATTATATTAACAATTATGGACAAGGCCCAGTGTGTGGTTCTGTTTTCTTGTGGCTCTTTGTGCTGTTGTTTGCTCTTCCATCCCTGGAGACTTTCAGAGAAAGGACTAGAGAGAACACAGCATGGCATTGGCTCTAGCTCAGCAGCGTGAGGGTTTCAGTGGTTGGCCAAGCAACGTGGCACGGGAGGCCTCACGAGGCCAGGCTCTCCCCTTGGAGCATAATTCCGTCTCCGGTTACCCCACTGCTGCAGTCCACCAGGGGAAGCAGAACCAGGCTGCCTTCTTTACCCCCAGGACCTTGGATGGGCGTTTGGGCACCTCTGCCCACACCATTTGGCCAGGGCTAAGGCTGGTGGACACTAGCAATGAGGAAGGCTCATCCGTTCAGACAAGTCAGGATCAGACAAGTCAGGATGGGGAAGGCAGGAAGAGACAAAGAGGCTGTGAGCTTAGCCAGGCCCTAGAGGAAGAGGCAGAAGAGTAAGGAGACAAAGGGTGAAAGGAGGAGTGAGGAATTACGGTTTGGAGAATGTCTGCTCTTAAGTGTTTAAGCACCTACAGCATGTCCAGGATAGTGCCGTGTGTTTGGAGCCAATGGTTGACAAGTTATATCCTTGCCCTAACAAACATACAGGTCAGGGGAGTAGGACAGATGGGCCGTTTTAATACAGAGTTGTGGGGGCCGAGGCGACAGGCATCTAGCCCAACAGGTGGGGCAGGCCAACTTGCAAGGGCCCAGAGGTTAGCCAGAGAGGGGGAAGGCATTCTATGCAGAGGTAAGAGTCCACAGAAGCACCTGCGTCCAGTGGGGCTGAAGAGAAAGGCATGGACCCATTGTCCAGTCAGCAGGGAAGGGTCAGTGGTCTCCTGTGGCCATCATGTGAGATGAACCAAAAAGGTGGGTTGAGCTGGCATGTGGAGGATTGTTAGCTGTGTTCTGGGGATGGGTGGCCAGCCATAGAAGGATGGTGACCAGGGCAGTGTGTTGTAGGCAGTTAAGATTTGTGGGGGCCAAAGGAGGGCCCAGAACTGAGGAGATGAGGTAGGAGTGGGGAAGAGTACTGAGGCCTGTCTGCAGAAGGCTTTTTGTGAGGCTTTGCGGTCACAGGGCAGTTAATGCTTGCACCAGCCCTCAAAGGAAATGCAGAATTTACACCAAGAACTGTGTTAGGGCACCCTCCAGAGGTCTTCCCATGGGGTTTTGTTCATGTCACCACTGGCTCCCTGCCTCCCAGGTTGGAGCCTTATCTCTCAACATCTTTCTCTTCTCTCTCTCTCCCATGCTGTCAATTACCAGGTCCTGTGTTTCCTCTGTGATACCTTTCCCACCAGTCCTTTCTTTTTCAGTGCAGCCACTGCCACCATAGCTTATGACCACAGCTTCATTCCCTGCCCACCCAATCTATTTGCTCCTGGAGCTAAAGCCCAGATAATCTTGGTTCTGGCACCTCCCACTCCAAAATGTCAAGTGTTACTCCACTGCCTGGTGATGTGAAACAATTGATATGATGCTGCTGAAATCATCTAAGTGTGTTTGACATGTTGTGTTTGACTCAGGCCCCTTGAGCTCTGTACCTTCCCTGTTTTAGGCTGACCCCTCATGTCCTTTGCCTGCTAGCCTCCAGGCAAGCTGTTCTCTCCATGGGAATGACCTTTTCTTGTGCATGTCAAAATCTTATCCTTTAAGGCAAAGTGCCATCCTCTGTACCCCCTCTTCTGGCAGGTTAAAAGTGTTTAGACTCTGCCAGCTTCTCACTGTTGGAAAAAGCTACAGATGAGGAAGGTAGCACAGCTGGAATGAAGCCTGTGTTGGATTGAAGTTGTAGGTAATATGAACTCATGGTTTTAATATTCATACAGATAGATACTGAAACACATCTTTTTGTGAGAGCCAGCATTAGAACACAGACATACATTTCCTTCTGCTGGGAAGGTCTGGAAGCAGTGACACCACAGTAGCAATGAGCACACAGTGGCCAGATCTTGCTTTCTAAATACCATTATGGGAAAAAGTTATTCATTCTTTACTTGGCAATAGTTTAATACCATTAGGGTGAGACCTATGTTCTTCCTTGGTGAGGGGAAATGGGCTCCATTTTCTAAGCTAAGCTAAGATAGAAGCCACTTCCACCCAAGAGCAAAGGTTTGCTCTTCCTAGTAGGGGACATTACATTTCCCCTGGGACAATTCCCTGGAACAGAAAAAATAATAGATGAACTTGGGATATTCTATGGTATGATAACATAAGGAATGAAAAAAGGAGGGGTTTGTCTAACGGACACAAGAACCAACTAAAAGGAGCATCCAATGCTCAAATCCATAACAGATGATAAGCCATGGCATAAAATTATGTGTGAGTCATACTCATGCAAATAAGGAAGGCAGTGCAGCTGGAATGAAGCCTGTGTTGGATTGGAGTTGAAGGTAGTATGAACTAATGGTTTTAATATACATGCAGATAGATACTGAAATAAACACATTTGCGTGTGAGAGCCAGCATTAGAATATATACATGCATTTCCTAGCCCTGAATAAATACATACGTGGGGGAGAAGGGACAGCTCTCCCTTAGGTAGAATTCCAATTGATGTCAAAGGAATTGTAGAAAAAGAAAGTCACCATTGAGCAAACACCACAGTAATCATTGTTGCAGGCAAGAATGGAGGAGACACAAATCAGTGGGTGAAAGTAAGGACATTCGCGTTGTCTCAAAGTATGCCTCTACAAGATGCTTATTAATTAGAAAAGGAGAAATAGTAACTTTATGTTGGAGAAACCTAATCAATACTATCTTAACCAAATAATCAAAGTATACATCTCAAATAATAAGTCATTGTCTTTTTTTTTTTTTTTTTTTTTTTTTTTTTTTTTTTTAAGAGACAGGATCTCTGTTGCCAAGGCTGGAATGGAATGTGGTGGCATGATCACGGCTCACTGCAGCCTCCATCTGCTGGGCTTGAGGGATCCTCCAGCCTCAGCCTCCCAAGTTGCTGGGGCTACAGGCATGCACCACCACACCCTGCTAGTTCGTTTTGTTGTTGTTATTATTATTATTTTTTAATAGAGATGGGGGTCTCACAATGTTGCTTTGGCTAGTCTTGAACTCCTGGCCTCAAGTACACCACCTGCCTCAGCCTCCCAAAGCACTGGAATTACAGGCATGAGCTGAGTCCAGCCATAAGTCATTGTCTTTGTTGTTGTTGTTGTTGTTGTTTTTCCTGAGATGGAGTCTCTGTTGCCCAGGCTGGAGTGCAGTGGTGAGATCTCCTCTCATTGTAACCTCTGCCTCCCAGGTTCAAGCAATTCTGTCTCAGCCTCCCAAGTAGCTGGGATTATAGGCGCATACCACCACACCTGGCTAATTTTTGTATTTTTAGTAGAAATGGGGTTTCACCATGTTGGCCAGGCTGGTTCTTGAACTCCTAACCTTAAGTGATTTGCCTGACTCAGCTTCCCAAAATGCTGGGATTACAGGCGTGAGGATTACATTACAGGATTACACCATACCCAGTCATCAGTCATAGTCTCTTGATGATGCACTAAGAGGGGCCCGATTTTGCCTGTGGTATTCTTGCATCACTTCAATCTAACCAGGAGCCAGCAGCAGGCAAACCCAAACTGAGGGTGGTCTGCAAATGAATAGAGATGTCTTGTTCAAAAGTGGCAGGTCATAGGACAAGGAAAGACCAAGTGCAATGTGAGATCCTGGGGTTGGAAAAAGACCTTACCAAGAAAACCAGCAAAATTCCGATAAGGTCTGCTGGTTAGTCCATAGTACTGCATCAGTGTTAATTTTCTGGTTTCAATAATTATACTACGGTAATGCCAGACGTTAACATTCAGGAAAACTGAGTAAAGGGTAAACAGGAACTCTGTACTATTTTTTGTGATTTTTCTCTAAGTCTATAATTATTTTAAAATAGAAAATTGGGCTGGGTGTGGTGGTACATGCCTGTAATCCCAGTACTTCGGGAGGCCGAGGCAGCAGGATTGCTTGAGCTCAGGATTTTGAGGTTGCAGTAAGCTATGAACACACCACTGCATTCCAGCCTGGGTGATGGGAGACCCTGTTTCAAAAAAAATAAAAATTTAAAAGTTGGGGTGGGGAAAAGAGCTCAGGGTCTGGAGCTACGGTCTGGGTTCACAATCTTGCCACCAGAAACTGCTGTGTATTCCTGAGCTGTCCCCAGACTTCCCATCTCTATTATGGGGTGGTAATAATAGCACCTTCCTCATGGGTTTATTCACAGCCTGGAAGCTGAGCCTGGAACATTTTATTCCAGAAAATAAAAATAAATGCTCAAAGAATGATAGGGGCATGTCAAAGGACCACAGGAGCCAGCTTGAAGAGGTTCCCACTGACCAAATTTGCAACAAATTAAACATCAAAAAATAATGATAGCCATGGGTAATAATCCACTGAATAAGAAAGCATGAATCCATACTGTTAAATTAGTAAGTTGAAAGTTTGATGAGGAACAAGGTGTTAACATTTTTTTTTTTTAATGGAGTCTTGCTCTGTTGCCCAGGCTGGAGTGCATTGGTGTGATCTCAGCTCACTGCAGCTCCACCTCCTGGGTTTAAGCAATTCTCCTGCCTAGCCCCCCAAATAGAGCTGGGATTACAGGCACCCGCTACTATGCCCAGCTGATTTTTATATTTTTAGTAGAGATGGAGTTTCATCATGTTGACCAGGCTGGTCTTAAACTCCTGACCTCAAATGATCTGCCCACCTTGGCCTCCCAAAGTGCTGGGATTACAGGAATGAGCCACCTAACACCGCCAGTATTGACATTTCTAAGTATTGCCTTATAAGATACTTCATAATTAAAGAGCAACAAAACAGAAATAAAGAGCAACTTCACAGTGGAAGAGTTTGGCAGACATTAGCTTCCAAGTGACCGAAGTGAACCTCCTCAGCAGTGGACAAGTCGGCATCATGTGCCTCCCAGGAGGGTGCAGCATCCCTTGCCCACAATGCATAACCCGAATCCAGTGTGAGCAAACTCAAGTTTCTGATACAGTTCTCAAAATGTCAGGAGAGTAAAGGAAAGAAAGGAACTGTTCCCGAAGGAACTACTAAGGGCAACACATGATTCCAAGCTGGGTCCTTTTGCTATGGAAGACATTATTGGAACTTTAAGCAAAACTTGAATGAGTCTGAAGATTAGATGGTAGAAATATACAAATTGTACTTTCCTGATTTTGATGGTCATGTTGTGGGTATTAAGAGAATGCAAGAAATACACATGTGTGATGGGACATCAGATCAACTTACTTTCAATGGCCCTGGGAAAAAGTTCTTCATTGTATACTTGGAGAGTTTAATAAGTACAGTTAGAGTGAGGCCTATATTCTTGGTTAAGTGGAGATGGGATCCAATTTAAGCTAAGTGGCCAAAGGTTCAGATGGAGCCCACTTATACCCAAGAGCAAAAGTCCATACGGTTAGCCTAAAGCAGTTCTCAGCCGTGCTGGGAGGCACATGGGGAATGTGAAACTTCTGAAGCCTGGGTTCCACCGCAAGATACTGTTTTCTTGGTTTGAGACAGGGTCTTGCTTTGTCACCCAGGCTGGAGTGCAGTGGCGTGCTCATAGCTCTCTGAAGCCTCAACCTTCTGGGTTCAAGTGGTCCTCCCACCTCAGCCTCCCAAAGTGTTGGGGTTTACAGGCATGAGCTGCCATGCCTAGCCTATTTTTCTTTACAAGTAAATTAGTTAAAATTTTAAAAAGAGAGAAAAGCAAAGACTTGGAGATGAGGAAGGGAGAAAACAGACTGGATTAATGATATGGGACTCAAAAGTCCCCCTCAGCAGAGTTTTGAGTTGGAAGACATGGAAAGGGAAAGGCAAACCAGCCATACAGGACGGTTTAGTGACAGCACAGACTAGTCTTCAGGAAGGTTGGAGTGTAGGGGTTAGATTTCACAGGTGGTTATCTGAGAGCTCCCCTTCCCAGAGGAAAGGGCCTCAAATGGCAAATCAGTGCTTGGGCATTACCTGGAAACAGAGGTCATCAACAAGGATGAAAGCAATAGCTTTGACTGCACCTTCAAGTTGGGCAAGATGAGGGGAATGGGCTTTCCTTTGACACTCCTATCAGCTCCCACTGAAATACCCAGTTTCGACCAATTTTGTTAAGATAGTCACTGAAGCCACCTCTGACTAATCTCAACACAAAATGAAAAGGATTTCCATTTTGTAGATAAGAGGTTTTTGAGACTTTAACTTGTCCCAAGGTGTCACAGGCATAAAGTAGCCGAAGTAGGCTTTTTTGGCATTTCTCCCCTCCCTTACTCCCATGCGTATCTCTAAAGCATTAAAAAAAAAAAAAAAAATATATATATATATATATATATATATATATATATATATATATAAATGAAAGTGTAAAAAATGTCTACATATCAAATATCCAGAGTTCAAATTCTTCTGAATTTTTACCCCCATCTAATTGTTTTCAAATCAGATCCAAACAAGGCCTGCTCACTGCTGTTATGGTATCTCACTTATCTGTTTCTCTACATGTTCTCCCTACCTTTTCCCCCTACTTCTTGCAATTTATTTGAAGAAACATGCTCAGTGATCTCTGAAATTGTTCCATAGTCTGAATTTTGCTGCTGGTATTCCCATGAATTCTTATTTTATACCTGGGACCCTCAAAACTTCAAAATCCCCAACACTCTCTTCACAAGACTACCCTGCCTCTATGATGATACTATGAAGACCTACCATCTGCTCGGCTCTTTACATATTAAGCACCTCACAAGGCATTTACCTTTTTTGTAGTTGTACCTGACCCCCAGAGAACATGTCCACAGGGATAGAGCCAAATGATAGAGCCAATATTGTAAGTCTGGTCAGCCTGACTCCACAGCCCGCCCCTTTCCCTCATACCAGGTGGTCCCATTCATTGCATTATGGGTTGTCAATCCATTCTTATTATTAATCTAAGCACTATACACTGGTCATCCACTTTCAGTAAGTGGATGGCAAGCTAGCATTAACAGATAGCTATTCCCAAAATAAGAATATTCCATGCCTACCAAAAATTACAGGAAAGAGATAAGACCAGCCGTCTATGGGAGAAGAAGCCAATGCAACGGCTAGTCTTTATTGGAAAGAAGAAGTTTTATAGCATATTTTGAGTAATTCAGTGCAGGCGCTCAGTGTGCCAGCTGGTGGGGCACCAGCTTGTAATAGGCTCCACAGCTAGGGCATCGCTGGGCCTCGCCTTTGTGCAACCAAAACCAGATGACGGTACTGTTGTCCTCTTCACCTAAAAGGGAAAAAAGGTGGTTGAGTCATTCGGTGTAGAAAGGGAGACTTTCAACATGAATTTATTTTCCTCAGACACCTCTGATACACAAGACAGACTATGGTCAAGAGATCAGTTCAAGCCCTCCTCCCATTATTCAGATGAAGAAATTGAGGCTCTGAGTCCACCTATAAGTAAAATGACCTTATATCAGGGTCACTGTAAATTCTTTTTTTTTTTTTTTTTCGTCTTGCCCTGTCACCCAGGCTGGAGTGCAGTGGTGCCATCTCTGCTCACTGCAACCTCCACCTCCCAGGCTCAAGTGATTCTCCTACCTCAGCCTCCCAAGTAGCTGGGATTACAGGTGTGCACCACCATGCCCGGCTAATTTTTTGTATTTTTAGTAGAGACGGGGTTTCACCATGTTAGCCGGGACGGTCTGGATCTCCTGACCTCATGATCTGCTTGCCTCGCCCTCCCAAAGTGCTGAGATTACAGGTGTGAGCCACAGCACCCAGCCAAGGCTCACTGTAAATTCTAACAATTCCCTTGCCCATGTAGAACACAAAGGAGGGTCCATTCTGGTATGTATCCCTACTGTCTAAAACGATGCCTGGCATAAAAGCAGTATAACAATGAATATTTGCTGGGTGGATACTCCTTCATGCCACACTTCCACTGAGCCAGTCTTTCCACTGTGCTGTGCTTCTTTCCACTAAGGATGGACTATCAGGAATAATGAGTCTTGAACAAGACCCGTAGAGAAACTCATTTACATATATTCACACACTAAAAGATCTGAAGCAGCTTATAGACTCCTGTATTGTAGGATATATATTAAGTGGATAAAGAAACAGAGGTGAGGTACTTACAGATACAGCCCACTATTCTCTTGTTGGTGACGGAAGGAACTAAATTAGGGTCTTCCTTAGTGCCTGAAGCTCCCTTTGGGGGCAGTATATTGTATGGGTCCTGAAAAAAAAAAAAACAAGAATTGAACCGTTATGCCAAATAAGCCCTACTTTCCAGAAGCTCAGGGTGTTCCTACAAGCCAAGTTCCCTGGATCAAATACTCCCAGGGAGGAGACTACTATGAACACATACAAGACCATAAGCTCCATGGAAGACACAGAAGGGAGTTTCTCACCAGTCCCTTTCTTGCAGCCAACATGATCTCCCTCTCCAACCCAGTCGCCTGCTCGTCATCAGTAGGCATACCACCTAAAGGAAGATACGTGAATTACGATGCTGACTGAAATGACTAATAGAAAAATTATGAACAGAAATGATCAACAAGAAAAATGGCACACTGAAACTTCTGCATACGTTTAAGTGGGCTCACAAGCTCCTAAAGGCTATTCATATCCATGCTCCCCAAAGAACCACCAAGTCATGATCCACACAAGCGGCAACATTTGGGCGAGCTTCGCTTCTTTTTTTTTTTTTTTGAGACGGAGTTTCGCTCTCCTTGCCCAGTCTGGAGTGCAATGGCACGCTGACGGCTCACTGGAACCTCTGCCTCCTGGGTTTAAGCGATTCTCCCGCCTCAGCCTCCTGAGTAGCTGGGATTACAAGAGCGCACCACCACGACCGGCAATTTTCTTTCTTTCTTTCTTTCTTTTTTTTTTTTTTTAAGGAGTTTCACTCTTGTTACCCAGGCTGGAGTGTAGTGCTACGATCTCGGCTCACTGCAACCTCTGCCTCCCGGGTTCAAGCAATTCTCCTGCCTCAGCCTCTTGAGTACCTGGGATTACAGGCGCCTGCCACCACGCCCGGCCAATTTTCGTATTTTTGGTAGAGACGGGATTTCCTATCATCTTGGCCAGGCTGGCCTCGATCTCCCGACCGCAGATGATCCGCCCGCCTCGGCCTCCCAAAGTGCCGGGATTACAGGCGTGAGCCACCACGCCCGGCCCAATTTTCGTATTTTTAATAGAGACGGGTTTTCACCGTGTTGGCCAGGCTTGTCTCAAACTCCTGATCTCAGGTGATCCGCCCGCCTCGGCCTCCCAAGGTGCTGGGGTTACAGGTGTGAGCGCCCGGCGTAGGAGTTTTTCCTTCTCCAACCACCGAGGCCAATTTGTCTACATTTGTCTAAAAGCAAGTCAGAACCCACTCGGCTTGAGGTTGGCGCAGGTTTAAAGGGCGGCCGGACCCCTCCCCATCCCGGTCGCAGTCCCCGCCCCTCCCAAGGTCACCCGGCACCTCCGTTTAGGATATTTCGCAGCGGAGTCAGTTCGGGGGGGCGGCAGGAGCAGCGGCCCGGAATTACAGGAAGATGCCTGCAGAGCCTGAGGCACTCCGGACCAGAAACGGTCACTGGGACCTCGAGCAGCTGCCCGGCACGCCCCGCTTTGCCGCCCTGGGACCACTCCGGGAGGGCACTACTCTGGTCCCTGGCACGCCTGGGGAGCCGAGTACCTCGAGAGGCCATGGAGCGCACCACGGCCGGACCGCGAGCCCTCAAGGCCTGCGCGGCCAGCGCTCCAGCTCCGCGAAGTAACCTTGAAGCCATCGCGTCCGCGACAAGCAGCAGCACTTCCGGGAACAGGCTGCAGAGTCAGGCGAGACTTCCGGGGGCGGGCTTCTTTCTCCTCCTGGTCGGCTTTTCGCTTCTTCCCCGCCCTCGGGCCCGCCCACTCCCGCCCCTGTGGCGGAGGCGGAAACTGCGCATGCCCCACTCTGCTCCTCCCTGCACCGCACAGTAGCTGAGGAGCGGGTTTGCTCTTTAGTGACGCTGGGAGGCGAGCAAGTTGTTTTGGTTCCTGGAGCTCAGCGGTTAAATCACATTGGAGTTCCTGTGTATCTGGCCTGGTAGTCGTGTTCAGCAAACGTGGAGGCTACTGATGGAAGTCATTAAGTCCCCGCCTGTCAAGAGACTTACTGGACCCCAAATGATTTGAATTTGGAAGTGGGCTCCTAAAGATCTCTGCGTTCCTTGCTAGGCTGGTTAGTGGGTTCTCCCGGCAGGGCGTGAGCCGTCGCGAGCGTGTCGCGTTGGACGGCACCTACCTGCAGTCCTGTCCCAGTTTTCTGTTAGAGTTATACTGTGGGGGTGTAGGCGCCGGGGTCCCTGCCGGGTCCCGGCCTAGGGAGGACAGTTCGGGGGCAGGACCTCTCCCAGGACCAAGAACCTGGTGATGTGAAGAGAAAGTGGCCACTCTTCGAGGCTGCTAGGGGAGGAGGAGTAAAAAGGGGAGTTGATAATGGGAATTGGAGTCAGATCCTGCCGTGACTGGAATTCCCTGTTTGAAACGGAAAACATCTTCCGTCCGTAGCTTCCCGTTGCCCTGCAGGCAAAGATGTGCAAATTTATTATGGTGAGCTTTAGTCAGTGTCGCCCTGTGGCAGGCTAGGTGCTTGCGGTATCAGAGTTTCCCTACCAGATAGAAAAATCGCTGTAGAGTGGAATTAGCTCATCATTGAATTTTCAATGCCTTGCAGAGGTCTGGTATACAGTAGGATCCAGTAATTTTAGTGAATTTACTACTTGGATAGACTATACAAAACCAGTTTATAGGGCTTCTCCTGGCCCAGTGAGGTCAATTGGAAGCAAACTGGGTAGAGTTGAAGGCTCAGATGCTCCCACTTGTCTTCTGCAGGCTATGATATTTTCAAAAGGACGTGGTGGAGCATTGCCTCCCAGGAGCCCGTCTGTTCTTCATGGGTGCCCCCTCCACCAATTAAAAAAAAACAAACACCTGTATTCTGATACAAAAACCACCTTTAAAGGCCAAGATTTCCTTTAAAGGTGGTTTTTACTTTGAATGGCTTCACTGTTACTCTCTCCTCCCTCACCTCCACTGCAACGCCTCCAAGTTGAATCTAGGGAAAAAATTCTGAGCAATGTTCCCCAAGGACCTATAGTTAATTTGCAACTGTGTTTAGGTGTTGCAAAAAGCATTGGTCTGGAAAGTAGCCCCACCAGCCAGTTCAGCCAGTCGCTTTTTCTCCTTTGGGCCACCATTTCTACATCAGTAAAACTCGTTCAACTAGGTTAGTATTTCCCAAGTGTGTTATTCCATGACATCCAAGTCTCAAGATATGATCTTAAGAAAAAGGGCTTGGTGGCTTGGTCAAGACAGGGAAGTCCTGCATTTCATGACTACCCTTTTGGAGCTGCATGAGCATAATCAAAGCTCTGATTAGGCTTGCAGCAAAGACCTCTTGTTTAATTTACCTGCAGTTTAAGCCAGAGTTTCCCTGTCTTTTTTTTTTTTTTTTTTTTTTTTTTTTTTTTTTTTTTTTGAGACGGAGTTTCGCTCTTGTTACCCAGGCTGGAGTGCAATGGCGCGATCTCGGCTCACCGCAACCTCCGCCTCCTGGGCTCAGGCAATTCTCCTGCCTCAGCCTCCTGAGTAGCTGGGATTATAGGCACGCGCCACCACGCCCAGCTAATTTTTTGTATTTTTAGTAGAGACGGGGTTTCACCATGTTGACCAGGATGGTCTTGATCTCTCGACCTCGTGATCCACCCGCCTCGGCCTCCCAAAGTGCTGGGATTACAGGCTTGAGCCACCGCGCCCGGCTTCCCTGTCTTAATTGACCACAAAACCCTTTCCTGAGGAACACCTACTAACTTGCCCCTCAGCAAACCAGTGAGAGATTCAGCTCTGATGTGTTATGATTCCCAGCTGCCTGACCAGAAATGGTTTACTCCAGGCTGTAAGATGGAAACTGACTTTAGGCTTGTTTCTCACTCTCATTGTGGATTTGCCTAATAGCAGGAAATTTTTGCAGGCCTTTGTCTAACTCAGGAAAACCTCAGCCTCACTCTGGGATTATTTAGACTGTGTGAGTGAGCTCCAAGGTCAGGGCCAGGCTCCCCAGATGTCCCTACGCATCCCCTGCTGCTTCCAGCTTCCACCACTCTCCACTCACACCCCGTCCCTCAAGTCTCCTTGAGAAACAGTTTGGCTTGGGGAACGAACGGTCAGCCACCTCCGCTCCATCATTGTTTTTGCCAGCACAATAAACTTACTGAGTATTCTTTTATAGGCTAATTTTTAGTTGTCAAAATAACTATACATGGTAGGTCAAACAGCGCAGATATGTAAGGAAAAAGCTAGCAGTTTGGTGCTTATCCTTTTTTTCGTTCCCTATACCAGGTTTTCTCAACCTCAGCACAACTGACATCTTGGGTTGATAATTATTTGCAGGGAGGTTGTGCATTGTAGGATTTAACCCTATGTCATTAGCACTTCCCTGACATGATAACCAAAAACATCTTCAGCCATTGCGACATGCCCCCTGAATTTGCGAAATCCCCATTGAGTATCACTGCATATATGAATATAAAATATAAAAACATACAACTACTATACAAATTATTAGTAAGTTGCTTCCTTCATTAAAAATATTTTGTAGCCGGGCACGGTGGCTCAAGCCTGTAATCCCAGCACTTTGGGAGGCCGAGGCAGGTGGATCACGAGGTCGAGAGATCGAGACCATCCTGGTCGACATGGTGAAACCCCGTCTCTACTAAAAATACAAAAATTAGCCGGGCATGGTGGCGCGTGCCTGTAGTCCCAGCTACTCAGGAGGCTGAGGCAGGAGAATTGCCTGAACCCAGGAGGCGGAGGTTGCGGTGAGCCGAGATCACGCCATTGCACTCTAGCCTGGGTAACAAGAGCGAAACTCCGTCTCAAAAAAAAAAAATATATATATATATATATTTTGTAGATATCCCTCCAGATCAATACAGCTAGACCTTAACTTATGTAATGGCTACAGAATATTCCTTACTGTCAATGTACTGTGATGTACCCAGCCATTCTCCCTTATGAATATTCCTATAGCTTCCAGTTTTTTGCCTCTCAAACAATGCAACAGTACACGTCTTTATACATACAACTTTATATTCCAGAGGTTTTGTTTCTGAGGAGTAGGGTCAAAGGGTGTTTGCGCTAAACATTTTACTAATACATTCTGCCAGATTGCTTTCCCAAAGTTTGGAGCAATTCATACTCACACCAGTAGGGCATGTGAGCGCCAGTCTCCACCTCCAAGCCTTTGAAAATTTAGCCCACTGGGTGAAGGAAAAATGAGTGCTGTTAGTGCTCTTGTTGTTTACTTTTCAGTTCCCTGACCTTCAAGGCAGTTGAACATCTTTTTAGATGTTTACTGATCATTTGCACTTCCTCGGGGATGTGAACTGGGCTTAACCACTCAGGTACATTATTATTATTATTATTATTATTATTATTATTTTTGAGGCAGAGTCTTGCTCTGTTGCCAGTCTGGAGTGCTGTGGCACAATCTCAGCTCATTGCAACCTCCACCTCCCAGGTTCAAGCAATTCTCCTGCCTCAGCCTCCAAAGTAGCTGGGACTACAGGCGTGCACCACCACGCTCAGCTAATTTTTGTATTTTTAGTAGAGATAGGGTTTCACCGTGTTGGCCAGGATGTTCTTGATCTCTTGACCTCATGATCCGCTCGCCTCAGCCTCCCAAAGTGCTGGGATTACAGGTGTGAGTCACCGTACCCAGCCTAAGGCACGCTAACCTCTTTCTGCCTTAGTTTCGTTTTCTTTCATTTTAAAAAAGAATATATTATTTTGGTTGTTGAGACTGAGTCTTGCTATGTTGCCCAGGCTGGTATCAAATTTCTGGCCTCCAGAAATCCTTCTGCCTCTGCTTTCTAAAGTGCTGGGATTACAAACATGAACCACCACACCCGAGGAGTTCAAGACCAGCTTAGACAACAGAAAGAGACCCCCATCTCTATATAAATTTTAAAAATTAGCCAGGCATGGTAGCATCTGGCTATAGTCCTAGGTACTCAGGAGGCTGAGGCAGGAGGATCATTGGAGCCCAGGAATTTGAGACCACAATGACCTATGATTGTGCCACAATGACCTATGATTGTATATCACTGCACTCCAGCCTTGGCAACAGAGCAAGACCCTGTCTCTAAAAATAAAAAATAAAAAAATAAAAGGCAGATAAAGATTTTTTTTTTTTTTTTTTTGAGACGGAGTTTCGCTCTTGTTGCCCAGGCTGGAGTGCAATGGCATGATCTCGGCTCACCGCAACCTCCGCCTCCTGGGTTCAGGCAATTCTCCTGCCTCAGCCTCCTGAGTAGCTGGGATTACAGGCACACGCCACCATGCCCAGCTAATTTTTAGTATTTTTAGTAGAGACGGGGTTTCACCATGTTGACCAGGATGGTCTCGATCTCTTGACCTCGTGATCCACCCACCTCGGCCTCCCAAAGTGCTGGGATTACAGGCTTGAGCCACCGCGCCCGGCCTTCAGATAAAGATTTGAATAGGTGTTTTTCCAAAGAAGACATACAAATGGCCAGTAGGGCTGGGTGTGGTGGCTCACACGTGTAATCCCAGTATTTTGGAAAGCCAAGGCAGGTAGATTGCTTGAGCTCAGGAGTTTCAAATTAGTCTGGGCAACACAGTGAAACCCCATCTCTATTTTAAAAAAATACTTTTTTTAAATGGCCAATAAGCACATGGAAATGGGGTCAACATCATTCGTCATCAGAGAAATGCAAATCAAAATCACAATGAGGTAGCACTTTATATCCACTAGAATGGCTAAAATAAAAAAGATAGATATAGCCAGGTGCCATGGC